CCAACACACTGAGTACGTCCATGTTGAGTGTATACACATGGGTGCACACGTGTATATCTACTGTTCTATCATTGTGGACTCTGATGTTTTCTACATGTGTCAATCCTGTCTTTCAAAAACTTTTTTTGGGTGCAGCTTCCCTGGTCTTCAGTGTTGGAACCAACCACTCCTCCCTCTGCCCTTAAAAAGCCCCTGTTCATCCTACTTTGAATTGTGGTTATGCTTGCAAGTTGTTTGCCCTCATTAAATTAAGTCCTAAAGGGAAGTGTGCATCTCGTTGGTCTCTGTGGTCCCCAAGGTATCAGAAACATATCTTTGCTGAATGCTAATCATTAACTAAAAAATATTAAGCATAAGAGTTATCTAGGAAAACCTATGTTTTCTATGATATCCGATTGTAAGGGGACTAGAAGAAAATATGTAGCCCAAATATAGTAATTCTACTTTGCAAAAAAAAAATCTAAAGGAACAAAGAAGATCCCAAAAGCTTAAAATCCAATATTGTGTATCAAATTGGATTATTACAAGAGATGTAGGTGAAATACTTTAAATACATAATAGAGGTAAGAGAAGAAGAAAAAATGACTTCAGTTATAATTCAGGAAAGATCACCCTTGACATTTTTACTTGTTTGTTTGTTTTTAGCCAAAAAAAAAAAAAACCTGGTTGCAAAATAGCTGAACAGTGATTTGATTATAGAGCAGGCTACTTCTCAGACTGGGACTAACACCCACCTCTACCTCTGTTGCCTCCTCACTACCTGCACTGAAGAGCTACATCAAGGCAGCTCACTCTATTGCTTAATAACCACATTTTTGTGCGTGCAAAATTTCCCAAATCATATTATAAAATGACTGTAATTTCTTTTTTGTTATTTACTTTTTACCATCACTTAAACCTATTTCCTCTTGTCCTTGTTGATATGGGCATATAGAGGGCCATATTACTCCATTTATTTAACTTTCACATATCCCAAAGAACTTCATAGTAATTGATTATATACCACTGTACCTTCAATAAACAATAAAACCAATTTTTAAATGCTTCTAGCATATTGCTATTCTGCTTTAATCTCAGTAAAAAGGCACACCTATGTCAGGCCTAAGTCATTTCTGTTGGCCTTGTAATAACATATAATAAAATAAAATAAATATACTAAAATAATTAAAAATGGTAGTGATTAAAAGTTTAGCTTACTGTTAATGCAGTTTCATATTCCTCAGCAGCTAAGTGTGCTAAGCCCAAGTAGTAAGAGGCTTCCCCTTCCATCTTTTTGTCACTTCCTGAAGTGAAGATGTAAAAAAATTACCAAGCATTCAAGAAATT